CAGTTAGTGAAAACAGTTCAAAATATGACAGCATGTGGCACTTCAAGGTTGTTTCAAAGAAGATATTAATTTACTTTGGAAACACAGCGGGTTCGCCATCAACCTTCCTTCCAACCTCCCTCTCCCTCCCTCCCTTTTCCTCCCCTCCCCCCTCTTCTTCCTCATCCCTCATTCCCAACATACACAACTGTCTTCCAAGGACAAAACCCTATCCAGCATGGGAGGCTTTAAATCGCTTCCTTTTAGCGACATGCTGTTTGGTTTCTTTCCTGGAAATTGAAATATCAATTCTTTGGCTGCCTTCTCTGATTTTGCATGCCAATGGTGTCACTGTAGAATGCCATCTCAAGTGTTGATCGTTTAAATTCTGCCTCTAAGTTAGTCATTGTCACTTAAGCTCTAGACTTTCCATGACCTTTCCAGCAGTTCTTTCAAGATACTGATACTCCATAGTGTCAGCACAGAGAAGAATGTAGGAATATGAACATTCAGAAAGAGTCAGATCAATGATCTCTAGTGCCTTGCACATAGTAAGTGCTCAATAAATGTTTGAGGAATTTTAAAAAATCAATGGAGTGGTCTAGCAGTCAATCTCTAATCATGGTGCCATGGGGGAAATTTGTAGATTATGATGATACACTCATCATGATTTAGAAGAGTGTTAGAAAAATGGAAAAAAAATTCCTACCCTTCTAGGAAATGATGAGCCTTTTGATTTTTTCCAATATTCTTCCAGTATTCAATATTTTATTCTACATCCCATCCACTCAGGGCAATTTCTGGCCATCTACTTTTCCACTGAACTTCCTGACCCCTGGGCCACTGAAACTCCAGAGACCCTACCCTAGGAGATTTGATCTATAATTATCCCTTCCATATCTAGGGGGTTAGGGGTGTGGTGCTGTAGCACTCTGCCCCTGCCATCTGGAAAATCCATGTAAAAAATTTTGACTCTCCCTTCATACCAGAGAAGTCTGAATTTTTTCTTTTTCTTTTGTGGGGTGTTTACAGTACCTTATTTTAAAATTTGGGTTAAGTATTTGGTCACAGGTTCTGTGTCATCTGTGGCTTCCTCAAAACTCCCCCAAAATTCTCATTTAATTTCTTATGCTGACCCACGAAGAAACTTCAGTGAGGAAAATCAGATGTGGAAGAGATAACTGTCCTCCTCTTTGGAATTCCCAGCCTAGGGGCAAGTACTCTTGATTAATAAGTGAGTGAGCTAGTGCAAATTTACACAGCCCCCTTTATCAAGCTGTACCAGCCATCTTACCTCAAATATACCCAGCCTCCCCCACCTCTCATCATTTTTTACCTCTTGCTCTGGGGACCATAATTGAATCAATACTACCATTGCTCTTAGAAAGTGCATGTCAGTTAATTCATCTGTGGTTCCACTAGCCATCCCTGCAGCTGCCCATACCAAAACATCTTTCCCTCAGCTATTACTCCTCTGTATGTATTGCTTCCCCCTTGTAAGCTCCTTGAAGACAAGATTATCACCCTTTTGTATCTGTACTCCTTGAATTTAGCAGTGCTTGGCCCCTGATTAAGTGCTGAATAAATGCTTTTCATTTGATCATTTTATTGAACTTTCTGGTAACTCTACAACTTTGGGTCAGTATTTACAGGGAATCATGTGCAATGATTCCAAAATGACTCCCCTGGTCTATAGTTAATTGCTTAAAGCCCATTCTCACAAATATGGTCTGGATTATTCAATTCAGTTAAGTGTCTCTTAATTATGCTCTATGTACAAATGGAAAAATGAAAGCCCTTCCCCTCAGAGATCCAACATTCTACAAAGAACTTGCTTTCTATAGATTTTCCCTAAATGAATCACTATACACTAGTGTTGTGTTCATCTGCTACTTATCTGCCCCCTCACACAGCTTTTTGAGGTCTTCCTGTAGTGTATCTCCATCTACTTAACATTTTCCTACTTTGGAGAAATTAGCATCTGTATCATAAGCACATGGAATTCACTGGGTCATCTGAGTGTCATTGAAACATAATGGAAAGACCACCAAGCTTTGAGTCTGGGGACCTGGCTAGGGCCCTGGCTCTGATTCTACCTGGCTATGAAGCATTGGGCAAATAATGCTATTTGTCTCAACTTTATTCATTATTTCTCCCGCCTTCTCTATTTCTCTTTATTTATCTAATTTCACCTCTTTAGAGTTGAGGAAACATCTTTTTAGTTTTTTCATTCTTTTAGACTACTCCCTGATCTCGATCTTGATGTTCGGGTTGGGCCCTGGGCACTTCTGGAGGGAAGGTCTGGGCTGGTCCTGTTGCTATTACTGTCTTGTGATAGTCCAGTATCTCAAGGCAGCTCAGGCTGGGAACACGAAAGCTTTCAGGGTTTCCAAAGTGGTTTGATCCAGGGCAAGGTCTGATTGTTGCCTCCCTGGTCTGAACTCTCCATGTTTCTCACCCGGGTTTGGGCCTGAATGAGAGTAGACTGCTACTGGACCCAGCCATTATTAGCCTTCTGGGAGCTGTGCTGATTCAGAGTAGTAGAACTGCGTGTTTCCCTTTGGTCTGTGATACCTGCCTTGGTTATTGCTCTACAGACCTCACACTGAGCTTGAAGTTGGAAGTGAGGCCGGCTTTGCTCCTGGAATCCAAGTCACAGATGCTTCTGCTTGCTTTAAAACTTGCTCTTCTCTTGGTGCTCAGCCCAGGACCCACTACCATTCAGTACCCTGGACTTCTACCCATGGGGGCAGGTCCCCATTTCTGTCTATAACTCAAAAAAACTACAAGTTGGCACCTGTTTCTACATCCTGAATGAGGTTACTGTGCCCTAGTATAGTTCTTGGGAACTCCTCTTGCCCCAGTACACAGCATTTTCCTGTGCTGTAGTGTTCTGGTCAGTGGTCTTATGGCCAGGTCTGATCAACAGGCCTTTCTATCTCTCCATGCCGACCTGAGCTGGAAAAATGATTTTTTTTTTGCAAGGCAATGGGTTAAAGTGACTTACCCAGGGTCGCACAGCTAGTGAATGTCAAGTGTCTGAGGCCAGATTTGAACTCAGATCTTCCTGAATCCAGGGCCAGTGCTCTATCCACTGTGCTATCTAGCTGCCCCATCTCACTGTGATTTTTTAATTTGATTTGCCCAATAGGATTTTCTCCAATGTGTTTTCTAGGTCTGTTTGGAGGAGATTTTTGGGAAAGGAACTTGCTGTACTTCATTCTGCTACCCTGCCATCTTGACACTGTCCTCCCTTAGCTCCCAACTTTTAACAAAACCTAAGGACTCTACAGAAGAGATGGAAAGCTAGACAAACCCAGCCACAGTACAGGACTCAGGGAAGATCAGGGTCTTAGGGGAATTATAACAAGAATATAACAGTCCCTTGTCCCTGCTGATGCCAGGGAACCTTCTGGCTGTCAATATTCATTCTAATGAAGGTGGCACAAAGTCTCTCTGAATTTTAACTAGAGAAGCATCTCTATACCATTTCAGTACAGAGCTGCTGAGATAGGTTAAGACCTAGTGGGAAGCTTATTTCACCAGATAGGGTACTATAAAAACCACCTTGGCTTGGTCCGTGGGGAATCCTTGGGGTTGGAGGTTCACAAATGATTTTCATGGGCAGGAGCCCCTTGAACTTCTTCACTCTCCTTGAAGAAAAGTTGGAAAGTGATCCATGTGCTATCTGGGTCTGCCCTCTGCTGACTCTAAGCACTGCCTTAAACAGGTGCCTGAAGTCTTTGGAATCTCAAATGTTTATTGCTGTATTGCTAGATCCTCAGAGATCCAATGCTTTGGAAACTCCATGTTCTCTATATTCCACTCCTAGGGTATGGGGTTAAGGGGGAGCTTTTGGTATGTTAATCAGTGCCTGCCAGAGTTGTGGGGAGATCTCCTAGATGCAGAATAGCAATGCTTGACTTGCATCTAAGAGGAAGGATCAGATTTGGGAGGAAAGCAAGTTTAAACAGAACAGGTTGACATTGGGGTGTCTGTGGGATGCTGAAAAAAACTGAAAGACTGCAATAGGTAGAGATTGAGGGTTGAAGGATTTCACGTGAGATTAGTGGGAAAAAAATGCTGGGAGTAACAGGGAGTTAACAAATTTTATATCTTGATAGGGTTCTTCAGAGCTTCTGTCTCTTCATTGTAGTAGCTTTTAGTCTCTGTTTCTACTTGCTGTGGATTTGTAGGAATGGTCATGGACCCTAGGACCTCAACGAATGTTTGCTGATGATCATGATTAAAGTAGGGGTATATAAACTTCTTATCTTCTTCTTAGCCCTGTGGCTTTGTAGATAGGTGTAGCTAGCAAGGAAGATATAAGTGTGGACCACACTTATCCAGCATTTTTGGGTTACTTGTCCAGGTATATTATTGTCCCCAGGAGAGAACACACAGGCAGAAAGACAGCAAACTGGAGCTGTGCCCAAGGGATGCAATGAGGGAAGATGGATGGAGGATTTGCCAGTAGAAACAAGTGAGTTACCTTTTGTATGATTGAAATTGAGAGGCAGCCATGGTGGATGTAGTTCATAGAGAGCCAGTCTTGGAGCCAAGATGTCTTGGGTCCAGTCTTTGACATTCTGGCTATGAGAACCTGAGCAAATCATTTAACCTTTCAGTACTTTAGGCAGGACTCCAAGATTCCAAGTTGCAGAGGTGGTGCAGATCTACCCTGGTAGAGAGAGTTTTCTCATCCTGGAGTTCCCTGTACCAATGAAATCATATGTTTAATCCCTATCCCTAAAGCATCCTTGGAATTATCCCTCCCTGGAACTTCTCTAATCTTACTTCTACCTTCCCTCATTGCATCCCTTGGGCACAGCTCCAGTTTGCTGTCTTTCTGCCTGTGTGTTCTCTCCTGGGGACAATAATATACCTGGACAAGTAACCCAAAAATGCTGGATCCTGTTAAGATAAAGTATCCCTGAGCTTTAACATTACATGTGTCATAACAAACCTCCAGCTTTTTCATCTTTCCTCACCTCTTCTCTTCCTTCTTTATACCCCCTCAGCTTGCTGCATTAGAGAGACAAGTATTCGATTTCCTGGGATATCAATGGGCTCCCATCCTGGCCAATTTTCTTCACATCATAATTGTCATCTTGGGCCTCTTTGGAACCATTCAGTATAGACCTCGATACATTGTGGTGGTAAGTAATGTTTGCCTATTCTAGTCTTCTCCCTTTGGCCAGGAGGAGGACTACAGGGTGCCTGAGTAGTATCTGGAAAACATTGCTCTGAAAGAGAACAGAACCTGCTTTCTGTAGAGACATAAAACAGCCTGGCATATTTTAAGTCCTCACTTCTTGATTGTTGTTTTGTGTTAAGATAGAACTGATTTTTCCTCCTGAGTCTGTCCTGTACATCCTTGTTTTATTTCTAAAAATGGACCTTTTCATAAGTTACTAGGAACAATAATGAACATGGGCTGCTAATTTTAAAAAATAAGTAAAAACTCTTTCTCCTGGAACTTGAGGGTACAAGGAGAGAAAGGAATTAATGTATCATTGTTGATGACTGTAAAAGCCATCTATCTCCAAGCCTTTCTACCCTGACTGCCCTGCTCTGTTCTTTAAGCCAGCCCCACAATTGAAACTGACAAGTCTCCTGTTCTTACTTCAGCAGAGAAGGAAAATTGTCAATTTAAATTCCCTGCTGATTTCAAAGAATGGGGAAGGGAGAGAGCCAGTGGGAGAACCATGAGAGTAATAAGCCTGCATTCACTTGTGGGGCTACTAGCAGTTTTGGTCACCTACCATTGACAGGCTGAGGAAGACTTTACTGTTTTATTTGCATAGAATTCTGGAATTTTAGAGCTGGAAGGAATTTGAAAGATGATCTAATTCAACTACCTCATTTGACAGATGGGGAAATGTAGGTCCAGAGAAGGGAAATGACTTGGCTATCACCATGAAATGAGGTGATAAAACAAGGATTAGAACCCAGATCTCCTGATCCCAAGGTGAGGGTGCTTTCCATGGGAATTTGTTGATATCAGCAGTCCTCCTTAAAGATTTAAAATAAATTAAACCAAACACTTTGAATGCAACGATTGTTATATTCCTTTATTCACTCAAGTCTGCATTGGAATGAGAGAGATCTTTTACTTACTAGGAAGCTGTAGTCCAGGTAATTTTAGCCATTATAGTCTGGTCAGTCACCGAAGAGAATGAAGCTCACATTTCAATAGTCAATTATTCGATATGTACCTCACTTTAATACGGATGCCCCACCAATTCCAAAATTGTCCTTAACCTTGCTGAATCTTGCAGAAACTTAGTCCCATGTCCTAACTTCTTGTAAACTGATTTAATGAGGAATGAAGGGGATTGCTTATATGCAGAAATCTGCTGTCAGACCAGGATGACTTAAAGAGTGCTTAGGGAGATTGATAATGACCTCCAAATGTCTTTTTCTCCCATTTATTAGTTGAAATATAGTTGCAGCTGAAAATCCTCAGGACCTGTCAGTTCAGTGTCCCATAGGCTAGCTCCAGTCAAATTTAGACTCATATTATGTGTTCTAGCTAATGTTTTGCAGACCTTATGTTTTCTTCCTCCTTCTCCAAATGCTTATATGATCTAATATCCAATACATGACTCCTTAGTCTCCAGAATCTCTTCCTGTGAATAGTATTATGAAGTCCATCAATCCTTGCTCCCACATGCCAACCAAGGAAAACACATTTTATAGTCTTCCTTTTCCAGGTTGGACCAACATCAACGAAAGGGGGTTAAGGAGGGAGCATTACACCATGGCATAGGCTCAGAGTTAATGGCACACAATCAATTAATCAATAACAATTGATAGAAATAGATATTACTCACTATGTGCTAGTCAGTAAACTAGGTGCTGGGATACAAATACAATGAGTGAAACAATCTGCAATGAGCTCATGTTCTACACAACAAGGATATACACATGTGTATACACAGAATGAATATGAAGGGATGGAATACAAATAAATACAAAGTAGTTAAGCATAAGGTAGTTTGGAAGAGCAGGGCAGTAGCAGTTGGAGGTGGGGGGCGGGGAGTCAAGAAAGGCTTCATGTAGAAGGCTGTGCTTTGAATTGTAGAATCTTGAAGGAGAAAAAGAATTCTATGAGAGAACTAAGGAGGGATGGAGTGTGTTCTGGGTATGAAGGATGGTTACGTTAAAGGCACACATGTGAGAGATGGAGTGTCATGGTTGGGGCATAAAGAAAAAGCCAATTTCGGTGGAAAGATAGCATTGGGCAATTGTGAAGAGCTTTAAAATAGCTATACTGGCTGTGCAAATCTCACCAGTGGCTAACTTAGGCAGAAAGCAGATCTCCAGTAGCAGAAACCTTATCTCCAAAGTTGGACAGACACCTTCATGCCACAAAGGTTAGAGAACATTCAGGGTCTGGCCTCAACACTGTTAAAAAGTGTAATGACTTCTATGCAGGGTGGCTTCTAATCTTCTCCAAGTTAGTTACACAAAAGCAAGCTGTAGTTACTTTCCAATTTATGCTTTGCATTCCTGATTTCTCTCCCATTTTTCTTCCTCCTAGTATGCAGTGTGGACAGCTATCTGGGTCACTTGGAACATCTTCATTATCTGTTTTTACTTGGAGGTGGGAGGACTTTCAAAGGTGAGTCAAGGATAGGATGCTATTTTGAAATACAAGGAAACCAGCTGGCTGTGAAAGAAAAGGAAAGACACATGGGCTCATGTGGCCCTCGTTAAATTTAAGTGCAGAGAGGAAAGAAGGGAAGCTAATTCACTCATCTTGATGCATTCATTGTGTGCCCCTTAATTCCTTGATTCAAAGCAATTAGAAATGTTCAGAAAGTCAAAGTGAATTTCTCAGATTCTGGGCAGCAACTGTTGTGGTTAAATTTTAAACTCATAATTCAAAACAGGACAAAGGAGTCCTGGAAGCAAAAGGGCTTGGTGAAACAGAGGAATTTAATAAAGACTTGGTGACCTCCCCCCATACACATAGTAAAGCTTCATGAGACCCAGCAGCTCCAGCTGAAAGCTCTGATTAGCTGCCTGCAATATGTTAATTGCATTTCATTATCCCCTTATTATGGCCCTTCTTTTATCTTGCCATTGTGCTTAGGGGTGGTGATGGGGAGGGGGCTGATCCTTGCTTTCATTTTTTCTTCATACTCAGCAGCTAGCCCCTTTGGTCTTTTCAATGGGTAGCTTAGTAGTACAAGCTGGACAACTCACCTCCATGTGGGCATGTGGATTGTGCTCAGAACCAATGGGCATCAAAGTTGTCAATCTTAAACTGGTTGCAAGTTGCCAACCAGGAAGAGTACAAAGCTCAGAGAGAGGGAGTCAGAGGGACTGACTGGTCTGAGTTCAGTTCTGGATATTTTTTAGGGGGCCAGAAGGCTTGGGTCAAATGTCAAGTTACAGATGTTGTCTTGATCAGGAATCTGGCTTTGGGGGAGCCTTTTCCAGGCAGGGGAAATAAGATTTCTTAATTCCATAACTAATTGCTCTTTCTAAGGGATTACCAAGTTCCCTCAGGGCGTTCCCTTCGTCAATGCCCTTCACAAATTCCAGTCCTGGTGGTAACCAATTAAACTTTAAAACTCTCACCCCTGGCCCACATTTGTCTGTTAGCTCATTGTTGTTGTTGCTGTCCATATCAATGAGGTCAGCATTTCATCAAGCATTCACTGAGCATGACAAGCAGAATACAGTAGATGAAAGAAAGTGTGTTTTTTACAGGGAGGGTGAAGGGAAGTCACGCTCCATTTTTGATGTTTCAGTAACTATGCAGTGCCAGACACTGAGCTCTCTGATAGGATGTTTGATGTGCCAGACCTGCAGCTTTCTTGAGTTATCTGGATTTAACTGCTTAGAAGGAGCTTCTCTTCTCCTGCAATTCCTGCCACAACTCCAGTGCTTTTATTATCAAAGAGCACAGGCACCTTCTTTGTTGGTTTCACTTAATTCTTTGTCAGAGATGGTGGCTTTGGCTGGAGTCATTTCTTCTGTGATAGCTTATAAATTCATGAACTGCTATACTGGGCTGACCCCCATGGGACTTTTTTGTCAGTTTTGCTGTAGCAGGATCTCATGGATGGCAGCAGTGACAACATTAGACTAGGGAATGTGCCTGTCCTTTGTCTTCTTTCTGATCTCCATTAGAAAAGTCTTTAAAAACAGATATTTTACAAGTTTAGTGAAAGCTTAGTGGGTCCTTCAGTTTTGCAAAGCTCCTCTTGCCTGTTCTCGCCACTAAGGATCCCTACAAGTCAGCCAAATTGGTTGGAGAGAACAACTTGTCCATAGCCTTCTCTGGAGCCTTGGTAAAGAGAGCAGCAGCTGGGGCCCTCTAGCCCCCACACATGACGTTAGTACAGGGGGAGAAGCAAAGCAGCAGAGTGACACAGACAGGATGATAACGTCTAGGAGGAGCACCACATGATTGCATCAGTGATTAGACACTGGCCTGCAGTATCCAGGCTATTTAAGAAAGGGAAGCAGTGCAAACATTGCTAGTGAATATTCTAAGACTGACTGGCATAATTATATGATTGCAGGAAGATTGTGTCTAAGGAGTAAAGGAGAAGAGCCAGGGAGGAGTCTTGATAGCCTGACAGGGCAGATGGGTTGTTTGTACTGGTCAAATTTTTTGGTAGTTTTATCACCTGTGTACTCTGCTGATCACCATCACCACCCTCACCTGGAAACAGAGGTGGTATCTGTTTTCCCCAGGCATTTTGTCAGTCTGTTCCCTCCCCCTACCCCCTCACAGTTTTGCTAGCTCTGAGCCAGGCACATTACACCTAGGGAGTGACCTATGATGATCTGTGCCTCAGAATGGGCAGATAGCTGCTGATTTGATTGTTCAGTTTGGGACCATTCTCCCATCCCTAGAAGGCTATCATGATGGGAAGTTGGGGGTGGCATATGGAGGGGATGAATTCAGAATGTGATGTGTAGTCTGGCTTTAGCTACCTGAATATAATGTTCTCTCATGGCTCTAAATTCTTCAATTGTTTTAACCTACCTCGCTCAGGCATAGAAAAATTGACTGCTAATGTGATCGTGCTCTCATAATGGTTGATGATGATAATATTTTGAATTTGCTTTGCATCTTTAAAAAAAATCAGATATGAGAGTGTATGCTGCTTTCCGACAAAGGTATTTTTTCACCCAGTTCTAATGCCTAAGTTACACTGAGACCTGGTGCTAATAGATCACACTTAGATCATATTTTGCAGTTTGCAAAGCACTTTTGTCAAGACATTCTTATGAAGTAGGTAGTACAAGCATTAATATCCCCATTTCATAAATAAGGAAACTGAGGCACAGAGAGCTTAAGTGACTTCCTCATACTCACATGGCCATGGTCAGGACTTGAATCAAGTTTTCTAGAGTCATAGGCGAGCACACTTTTCACTACACTGTGAATACCTCCTTCTCCAGAAGAAATCACACTGGTGGTTGTTGTACAGTAGAGATGTGCCTGGAAGAAAGCAAGAAACAGCAGCATTCACCCAGCAAGGGCAAGGTGAGAGATGGCAAGGGTAATAATAGTAATACCTAATAATTGTGTAGTGCTTAAATGTTTGCAAAGTGCTTTCCATGTATTATCTTATTTAGTCCTCACAGCAACCCTAAGAAGTGCATGTTGTCATCACCTCCCTTTTATAGACGAGTAAACCAAAAGTGAGTGAGGTTGACTTACCCATGGCTACGTAGCTAGTAAGTGCCTGAGGTAGGATTCAAAATCAGGTGTTCCTTTTTATAAATTAATTTTTATTCCAAAATTAACAAATGCCAAAGAGAATGGGTGTTTGTATATGCCTCACAGAACAGGAAAAATAGCATTGACATGAAACAACAGGTCTTTATAATGTACAGTTTACTTTACTTTTTAAGGTTATAGTAAGCTCCACATATAACTTTCAAAGCTGTCCTGTTTGTCCAGCTTTCTTTCTGGCCTTTCATCTTTTCCTCTCCATTTTAAAAGAAAAAAGGATGCCTCAATGATTTTCTTTTAAAGAAATTTAAATATATATTTTATTCTACCCCAATTACATGTTAAAACAATTTTTTAAGATTTGGTTTTTTTTTTTAGGTTCTGAGTTCCAAATTCTATTCCTTCTTCTCTCTCCTCCCCACTCCTCAAGACCGTAAGCAATCAAATGTAGGTTATACATGTGCAATCATGTGAAACATTTCCACATTAGTCATTTTGTACAAGGAGACTTGAATAAAAGAAAAAAGAATGAAAGAAAGTGAAAAATAGCATGCTTCAGTCTGTATTCAAACAATATCAGTTCTTTCTCTGGAGGCAGATAGTATGCTTCATCATTAGCCTTTTGGGATTGTCTTGGATCATGGTATTGCTGAGGATAGCTAAATCACTCAGTTCTTCAATGAACAATATTGCTGTTATTGTGTACAACATTATCCTGGTTCTGTTTACTTTGCATCAGTTCATGTAAGAATGATTTTCTTTTTTAAAATTTTGCTACCCTATCCCTTCTCATCCTTCAACTCCTTCCCAGTGGAAAAAAAGAAAAAGAAAACCAAAGCCCTTGTAATGAATATACATAATCAAGCAAAATTAATTCCCACATTGGCTGTGTCTGGAAACGTATGGTTCATTTTTCATCTTGATTCCATCACTTACTTCTCTGTCAAGAAGTGGATAGCAAGCTTCATCATTCTTCCTCTGGCTGGAATCATGATTGGTCATTACATTGATCAGAGAAGTCAAGTCTTCCTAACTTCAAGCCCACCACTGTATCCCAGACTATCTACCTGCCCTTAGGTAACATGGATGGGGGAAAAGGTGATGAATGAAAAATGATCCTGCCAGTAAATAATCTGAGCTTCATATCCTGTGGTAGCACTGCAGAAGGGAAAGACAGGTGACTTTTAGAAGGTCAAGGCCAAAAGTTGAAGAATGTAAGTCCTATACTTGCATTTAAAAAGATAAGCTGCACAAGACCAGGGTAGGGCAAGAGACTAAGCCATTTGGAAAAGAACTAGGGGTTTTAGTGGACTACAAATTCAATGTGAGCCATGTGTGAAGCCAATGTGGCTTCAAAACAATCTTAAGCTGGATCAATGGAGGAAGAGTATCTAGAATGAGTGAGGACACAATCGTCCTGTACACTATTTTGGTCATACCATATATTGTGTTTAGTTCTGCATGCTCTATTTTAGTAAGGACATTTGCAAGTCAGCTGATGACAGAACAGGGCAACCAGGACTGTGACGGGAGCAAAAATCAGAGAATACAAGGATTGGTGGAGGAATTAAAGATGTTTAGCCCAGAGAAGAGACATATGGAGCATATGATGACTGTCTTCAAAAATCTGAAAAGCTATCATGTGGGAAGAGAGATTAGACTTGATCTGATTGGTCCAAGAGAGAAGAACTAGGTGCTATAGGTGGAAGTTACAAAGAAGCAAAGTTGAGTGTAACAGGATTGTCATTCAAGGTATTGGCTGCTTCAGGAGTTAGTGGGGTTCTCCCTCACCGGAGGTCTTCAAGCAAAGACTGGTTGACCACTTGTCAGGTAGACTGGTTGACCACTTGTCAGGTACGCTGAAGGGGGTTGCTTTTTTAGGTACAAGTCAGACTTGATGGCTTCCAAGTGATCCATTT